ATGTCTCCTATACTTAATTTATGTGGGGGGTCCAAAAATCGTTCTCTAGGAAATTACCCCCTTATGGTAATTTTTGAGTTGGTTTGTTTTACATCAGATGAAAAGTCTTTTTGTTTTGAATAATCTTTTTTGTTTGTTTTCTTTCTTGTGATTTTTAACAATTTTTTTTTTCGATTTTGATGGTTATTATATCGTTAGAACTGACGAGGGTCAACCCAGACCGAAATATATTTTCAATAAATGTGAAACTAACATCTACTTTTTACTCTACAGAGGTTTGGTCCATCACAATCACCGAATTTTAAGTGAAAAGTCTTTTTTTCCGGTTTTATTTTTCTTTTTCTGAGCTTTTACTGTTCCTATATTCTTGTAGACAAAAAGTCATTCCATTGCAACTACGTTTGCAAATAAACTCTTATTTACCTATTGCAGTTTTGTTCTAGTTCGCAATTTTAATTTAAAAATGAAAAGTCTGCAACTACGTACAGCTTTAATTTCACAACTTTCTGATTGATTTATTGATAATAGTGTTTCTTTACACTTAATTACTAGTATTTTAAATCAAACTTTCAGTTTCTAGCTTTTCATTGGTGTAGTCTACACTATGCAATATTCTTTATATGATCAAAACAAGGGGTCCAAAAATCGTTCTCTAGGAATTCACCCAACAATGATTGATTGGTTGATTGAAAAACGTTTATTTCTACACACCTTATTACTGGTGTCTTAAATCTAATCATAACAATTGTAATGTCGAAAGAGAAAAACATTAAGGAATGCGCAGAATTCCGCTAATTGTTATATAATATAATAATTTAAACAACGGTTTGAAATGTCGTTGTTGATTAAAAAATTTTTGAATGCACAACCATCGGAACTACATACAGAGCGTCCCATATCATATTAGATTATTTCCAATCTTTAACACCAAAATAAACCCTTAATACTCGAAAAACTTATCATTTTCCGCAAGAAAATTCTTATATAAGCCTTATGTTATTTTTCAAAGTGATTCATTCTAATGAAGTTTTCTAATTAGTCCCGAAAATCGTAATTTAGACCCGTTCTCGGTCTAATATGATGTGGGACACCCTGTATATCCTATGAACTAAAGTTCCAATTGTGAGTGAAAAAAAGTTAGCTGTTAAAGCCTTTGAATTTGTTTGAGAATTACGGTAATCATTTTCAAATTCTGATCCACGTATTTATGGAAATCACGAATAGTCTTAGTCCGGTTTATGCAGCATCTAATCCAAACCAAACTAAAACCGGTTTCAATTCACCAATTCCCGCCAATTCCATCCAATGCAATGTTTATTGTCGGTTCTAAAAGATGAGTGACATAAGTGATATCCAGAGCTGGTTGACGGAGATACTCGGAGAACAAGTTGATTGGGAGGTTAATCCTGCAACCATAAGAACTCTTCTTTTACTTAGGAACAAAACTTAATTTCTAATTATTAATTAGCTAACAATATGCATATATTTATCATTTTAAAATAATATTAGGACCGTTCTTAGATGCCCACGGTTTACTAGATTTATCCATAACTAAAAAGATATCTTAAGAGACATCTGCAAATGTTATTAAGTGGATTCCGACCTAGTATACGACATTGGGGTCTGTCAGAACTAGTTTTGGACACACCCCCCCCCTTCCTATCAATTTTGTACATAAGCACTTAAAATTATAATTATTTATTTTCAAATATTTGAGGGTTAGGTTAACACTCTTTCTGGGCCGAGCTCTGCGGCTAGGGCTGACTAGGGGTCGAGCGCTGCGGCTATGACAGGCTAGGGGGGGCCGAGAGCTGCGGCTAGGGGGCCGGGTGCTGCGGCCACATGACCAATTAAATTCATGTGTTACACATGAGATCTATGTACCAAATTGATAAGAGGAGGGGGGGGGGGGTCCAAAAATCGTTCTCTAGGAAATTATCGAGTTTAGGACCCCCCTCCCCCCCCACCAATTATTTACATGGATCTCGTATGTATCAAATGGATGCAAATGGTCACTTGGTCGCAGCGGCCAATCCCTTAGCCTGTCCTAGCCGCAGCGCTCGGCCCAGAAATTGTTTGAACCCAACCCTAAAAAATAGCAAAATAAATAAGTGGTCATGTATTTAATTGATGGCTGGGGGCGGGGTCCAAAAATCGCTTACTAGGACGGACCCTAATAAGTTTTTTCTTACGTTTGTGATTCCCTGCAATCTGAAACTTAATTCTTTCTTTGCCAAATTGCCTATAATGCTTTAGTATCCCAGTAAGTGTTAAAAACAAAGTCTGAGGACCAAATTAAACCTTTAAATCGACTGGTGTAATGAATTAGATCTTAATTATTGTCTCATTTTTCGTTGAGAAATCAATGTTGACTTGTCAATTTAAAAACTTTAAGTATTAACATTGCAGAGAAAAGAATATATGTCAAGAAAAACATCTGCAGGTACGATCATATGCAAATCTAGCCGAGGGGCCCAGCTTTGCCCGTATGAATAAAATCGATATGTTAAGCCTATGTCGCCCCAGACTACCTATGAGTGTGTACAAAAAACGTCAGTACATTCGGTCCAGCCCTTTGGCCGGTTATGAATTTCATTTGAGATCTATTCGACTAATTAGAACATCGTTGTTCAGATTATACTGGATGAAGTAGAACGAGCAAGATATGAATGTGAAGGAGAAGTTCGTAGATTGGAAAGTATCCTTTTGCAGCTGGGAGTAGGGGATAGTTTCCTCTCTGGTCCTAGTTCAGTATATACTCAGGTAGGAGTAGAGGATAGGTTCCTCTCAGGTCCTAGCTCAGTATATGCCATGGGTACTGGAATAGGGTAAGGTAGTCATACAATTCTAGCTTCTGTACCTTCCTACGTCACAACCCGGTACAGGGCACAAAGTGGACACTGGTCCTAGAACTGTCCTGGGATAAGATCTGTTGTAGGCAAGTATACGCATAATTGTGATTGGTATTTATTTTGGCGGTCTGAGAATTCTCCACCAATAGTTTTAATCAGTGACGTCAGAGGGCACAGATCTTCCCCCCGTACCGTATCGACATTTCATTCGTGCGCGAGCCTCGTTGCGATACCCTATTCCAGTACCCATGGTATATGCTCTGAGCTGAAAACTTTAGAATGTGATATCCTTAATCCTGATCTGTTAGTTAATCTGGAGATTAAATTCATGAGGTGAACAAGCAATATTTAACCGGGAGATTAAGAAAAAGAGTGGATTAAGCATTAATCCTGACTTCCAATATTCTTAAGTTCCCAGCTCAGGTAGGAGTAGAGGATAGGTTCCTATCAGGTTGTAGTACACAATATACTCTTCAGTATTAACCAACCCTAAGAAATGTATTTGTAAAACTAATCTTGGGGCTTAACATTTCTATCTCTCTTTTTCATTACCTGTTCCTATCAATTTTTGGTTTTTGGTCTTTGGTTATTGTTAGAAATTTTCACGGATTTTTAACTAGGTGTTGACGGATTCCTGCTGTGCACTAAACGAGGATAATATTGGATCTGGACTGCTGGCTGCTGCTGCCCGAGTTAGGGTCCAACAAGCACAATCTGCTCCTTGTTTAGCAGCGGTGAAAGCACAAGTAGAAGGGGTGAAAGCAGATACACTTAAACTCTACTCACAGCTAGAAAGGTATCTAATCTTTAACAGATCAATATTGTAAAAGATACTGAATTTTCTTAAGGTTTTTGCTTTTATTTCCTTTATATTTTCCTGCATTGAAATGCGGAAATCACATTGTAGAGAAACCACAATTAGAATAATTTTTTTTTTTAAATCATAATCATTAAAATTTAATTAATATTTGATCAGACAAAGCTTTCAGGGGTGCAAATCGGACGTTGCCATCTTTTTAAAGGGGGTTAATTGAAATTACGCTGAAGTCCCTTTTAGCTTGTTTTAAAGATTTAGATTGAATTAATCTGATTTGATATTTATAATTCCTATTTTTGAAATAATTTTTTTTTTGATAAAGCTGTGAATTTAAGTGAGCTGTAGAAATTAAACGAGCTGTTTAGGCTGGGAGAATGTGTAACTGCAGGAGAGAAGGAAGGAAAAGAGGATTCTGTTTTAGCCGCAAACCAATCCAAGAAACTAGATTTTATGTGTGCCAAGGAGAAGCAGTATAAAGCAAGCCTGGAGAAGGATGAGACCTTGTTGCACAAGAACACAGGCGGAGATTTGACTCTAACCCACTCCAACATTGAGAAACTATCCGCGGAGCTTGCAGGGTTAGAGGTTGAGGTTGAAGAGGCCCGGAGACAAATCTCTGGGTATCTGAATCTACCACCCAGCTGTGATCTTGCCAAGGTGGAAATATCAAAGGCGGAGAAAGAACTGCTAAATCTGGCAGAGCAAGTCAACTCAAAAATTTCAACTTTGCATTTTTGAAAATTTAGATTTTTACTAAATTGCAACTATGTACGCAACCCTTATTCGACAATTAACATGCCAGTGTCGTCACACAAGAGAAATGTGTCGTTTTAATAGGAATCTCCAGACTATATATATGTAACTTTGTATCTACATTCTAAATGTTAAACTATTTTCAGAAGAAAGGAACTCAATAATGGATGTTGCTTCGAGTCAGATTGATGCTAACCATGTCAAGGACGACGTGGCGGAGAAGTAAGTTGCCATTTTTATCCTTAGACAGATTTGTTTTGTTTCTTCAGAGCTGGGAACTTTAGAATGGTGGATATCGGGATTAATGCTTGATCCATTCTTTTTCTTAATCTCGAGATTAAATAATGCTTGTTATCCTCTTGTTATTAATCTCCAGATTAATTAATTGATCGGGATTAAGGATATCCCATTCGAAAGTTCAGCTCAGGTGACCTTCAAAATTCAAAAGAATGACATGCCCTTGTCTAAAAGATACTTTTAATACCTTTTTATTAGCAACCCCCTTGTTTTCTAACTGAAGATTGTTATTTTTCACATTCGGACTGTTCCTCAACAACATTAGCTTGCGGATTTATGCTGCATAGGCAAGGAAGAATCTCAATAAAAACTTTTTGGTTTAAACGTTCTCAGAAAATCGAGCATATGAACTATAAAACTCGGGGTCATTTGATATTCCCTGAAACTGTTCTTTGCTGAAGATATGCGTGGATTTAAATTTCAAATTATTTCAGGGCCCAGAAGCGGTTCCAGGATTTTCTTGAAGAGTGGAAGGCGGAGGGTAGTGATGAATTGAAGTACTTGAACGATGCCAGGGAGCTTAATGAGCATATCAGGAATACTATACAGGTTATTTTTATTATAATATATGCCGATAATCCCAACACCCAGGGCGCTTACATCCAGGGATCAATGATAGAACATCCCCTTACAGACAACCCCAGGTTTGATTTACACGTATCGTGAGGGGCAGTGCTGATGGGTGTGGCTTCATACGGGGATTAAAATATTCCCAGAAGTTTTGTTTCATAATAATAATATTAATAATGCCCCCACCCCCCGTCTTAAAGTTTGTTAACTATCCCATTTCTATGCAGGGAGTCCCAAATCGGTGAAAATTTTTTAAAGTTTTTATGTTGCCCTTGGAATTTTAATATTTCCCTAATTTGTTAAACCAATGTACCCACAGTTAAGTACGGATGGGTTCCCTTAAAAAATGTCAGCCAATTTGGTCCAGCCGTGATGCCAGCTTTAGGAAGCATATACCTATAAATACATATATGTATCACAGAAATTATGCATGTTGAAATTGCGAGTTAATCGTCATATTAGTCGCCCCTTTTTGGGACACATCTTTAAACTACCAATGTCGGTTTCATTCACTCAGATTAAAGATCTTTTTCAGTAATAATATCTAAACTTTGTTTCTGAAGAAAATCATATTTATTTATTTATTTATTGTCTAGGTATCGATGAAGGATATTGAGCGTCATAACAGTAATTTGGCGGATCTTATCCAGAACCATTACTACCGTCTTTATCCTTACCTTTGCCTCGCAGTCAAGAACTTTATGAAGGATCAGGTTAGTGTAAGCGAAGACACAATTTGAAAATTTTACAATAATTAATGCATCAATTAATGATCATTCATAACTATCTTTATTTTATAAAGAACTGTGGGATGTTTGTTTTGAGAGCGATCGCTAGTTGGGAACTTTTCATATCATGTTTACTTAGGCAATTTCATCGATTTCCTTCTGCTCTTTTCTCCAAAGACTAATATGACTAATATCAATTTATGTAGGGGGAAGTGATGGAGAAGGAGAAGCAGTTGTACGTCAGCTTCACCGACCACGACGTGTTGACCAAGATCAGGGACCTCAACGCCACCAGAATCAGTCAGCTCACCAAGATCACGGGACAGGTAAGAACTAGGGCCAATTTGCCTGTAATATGAGAAGAAAATAAAACAGCGTCCGAGAACTGAAACCGAATCCAAAACCAAAATGGGATTCTTACAAAATTGGATCCGATTTACTGGATCTGGAACCAAAACCGGATCAAAACCATTAACAGGATCCGTTGTAGTTTGATGCAGAAAAACTCTAAAATTGAAAGTTTCGTGAATCATCAGACGTATCGTCGTATATTTTAGGTTGTTCGAACCCATCCTGTTCATCCAGAGTTAGTTTCTGGTACCTTCCAGTGCCTGGACTGCCAAACCGAGATCACAGGAAATTATTTTTTTTTCATTCCTGAGATGGAATTTAAAGAATTTGAGCTGCGGTTTAAATCCGCCAAAACCCGGTTTAAATTTAGCACCAGCTTAAATCTTGAAACATTTGATACAATTTTAAGTAGAACCAACCATATTTAAACCGCGGCTTAAATTTAAACCGCCGCTCAAATTCTTTAAATTCGGCCACTGATCAGTTAAAGCACTGATGAAAAAAGAATGTTTTCCTCGGAACTAAAGGATTATTACAATTTTAGCGATAAAAATTTGTTTAAATTTGATAGTAAGAATTATTTCTTTCTCACGTGAAAAAATGATAATCTCCAGGTATTGAGCAGCAGTTCAAATATACTCAACCAACAACCTGCAGGTATGTGTCATGTTTTTAAAATGTGTAAGCATTCAACCCCTCCCTCCATAGGCCCCCATCACAAAAAATGTCTTTTTTAAAACTATTTTACCTCTTAATTCTAAATTTTCGTCGGGGGAAATATTATTGTACAGTCGTGGATTATCTAAAAGAATTGACATTTTAATTTTCTTGGAGGCTAATTTTTGAAATTTTGATCATTCATCAACCTTCCCTGGAGTCACATGAGGTCCCGCACAAAAGGGCCTAATCGGTTTAGCCGTTTTGACGTTTATTGGATACAAACAAACAGACACCCAGACAAGCTAAATTTATCTATGGATGAACGCATCCTAAAGGGGTTAAAAGGCCTGGGGGGGATACTCCAGGTGCATGCATGCTGTTCAGTGGTTTGGAGTGTGGGGAAATGGGGGGAGGGTAGGTAATGCTTTAGATGCTGAAATTATATTTAATTAAATGCAATTAAGTTTAATTTCTTGAATTCGATGTTTATTTCATATTTGGTTTCTCTTCCAGGAATCCAGTTTGTAACAACAGAGCTCGTTTTCTCCTCCTCACGGAGAAATCAAGATTCGTGGATTTTCAGAAGGTTCGAATCCAGGAGGTTCAAAGTGAACTTCCTCGAGGCTGTATCCCCCGTAGTGTCGAGGTTATCCTTAGAGCTGAGGCTGTAGAGACTGCTCAAGCAGGAGACAGGTTGGTTTTTATTTGATAAAGGCCTGGACCAGACTTCAGAAAACGGTTTACCAGACTTGACCAAAACGACTAAAAACAGGACTATATATATGACTGGACCTGGGGTCTTGGAATTCTTTTTATTTTCGGATTAGGCAAGTTCATAAAAGATATTATATCATATCTGTTCGGTTCCATAGTAGTAAACCTATCGTGTAAGAATTCTCATTATTACACGGTTCAGGAGGAACAATTTTAATATTGTTCGCTTCCTTGCGTTTAAGAATGCTTATTCTTACACTGCAAGTGTAGAATTTTCATTTTTTAACGCTCAGACCGTGTAAGAATGGAAATTATTACATGGTCAGAGCGTGAAAGAATGTGTATTCTTACACGCTCCGAGCATTAAAGAATGGAAATTATTACACTTGTTAAAGAATATTCATTCTTACACGCTCCTTATATTGATCTTTTCAGTATAGATCAATATTGATATTAACTTAATTATTTTGTACTGACAACATGCACAGGGCAATCTTACCTTTTTCTTTTATATTAATATATGCAAACTTACCTTTTTATACTTTGAAATAACATGCTCACTTACCTTTTTCTTTTATATTAATACATGCAAACTTTCCTTTTTATACTTTAAAATACCATGGTCACTTACCTTTTTCTTTAATATTAAAACATGCAAACTTACCTTTTTTACTTTAGTAAAACATGCTCACTTACCTTTTCATTTCACTTACCTTTTTCGTTTTTTGAAGTATTGATATATCTTAATTCAGGAATTTCTATTTAAATCTTAACCTTAGTTCTGAAGACTGGAACCCCCTGTGATTAATTAACATTTTCTGACCTTTCCAAAAAATATGAACCATGTACTTAAAGCCTTCCATTGGACAATTTCATCAAACTACCGAGTCTCAAAGGATACTGCCTGCCCGACTGCCTACTTTATTCAATTTGTTTTTAGTTTTTCTTCATTGCAAACCAAGTTTGGTGAGATTTTGCAAATCACTTCATAATTGTAATAGTACGGTTAGAGCTTTTCAAAAATGGAAAGGTTTGTCATGTCTTCACAATTTCAATTTTTTTTTTCACTTTATAAAGTTTTAAAGTACCTCAGCCTGAGTCAGCAGTCACCATATCTCGCATAGCTCGAGATGATGAGGTGAAACCACAATCAAAACCAAAAATGTTAGTTTATAAAGACTTATCATTGAAATACTATTGTCACAACCTTTAGTGGGGTCTTAGCACTCCATACTCCATTGTAATGAAAACAAACCAGTGAATCTTGCTTAATGAATAAAAGACAAAGATCTTCATCAGTTCATGTCGAACTGATTCTTACTAGATAACCTGATTTTATCTCCTCTTTTTGGAAGATTTAGGATCCAATATCTAGGAAATGATTTCTTTTGTAAATGATTTCACGATTTTCTTCAGTAGATTAAGACAACCCACTACAATACCTTCTCCCCATCTAAAAAAACTCAGGGCACATTCAACATGCTTGAAAAACAAGCAAATTCATTAGAAATTGGTTAACAAACAAACTAAACTTAGGAAACAATCACACCACATGCATTACTTTCAATTAAGAACCAATTTTTACACATAAAATGGTTTTAAACATTTTAACATTAGAAAAATAAAAAACAGTGATAGTCAGAACAAGAGCATAAAACTTACTTGCAACCTTTCATAATGTGAACTGTTCTAACTTAAAATAGTCGGATTTCACCAGAATTATTTTTTACTATAATTTCTTGGGTATGTGCCCATGGAACCTCACAAATATGATATAATAATAATCTTATGAAGATAAAAATGTAATAATGGAATTCTTAAACTCGATGAAATTATCTTGATGCATTCTTTCCTCATAAGATTATCATAATATAGAAATTGATCAAGTTTAGAACAGTTTTGCCAAATTTCTACTCCAGTTAAAGCTTTAAAATATGTTTAAATACAATGTTGAAAATTAGATTACAATTTAATATTAATGATATTTTACATTTATTTACTCACTTCAAATAATTATTTTTAATATTTAATATTTAGCTGTACCATCGTACTACTTTTCCATATATGTGTTTCAGGGTTATATGATTTTAAGAATTTCCTTAATGAACTAAAAATGTTTTTTTTACTCCGATAATTTTTTTAAATGCGCTCATGGCAAAGATACATATTACATACCCAAAAATGTTTGTTTTTTTACTCAGTTAATAATTTTTATTTTAAATGCGATCATACATTTTACATACCTTACTTCTGGCGGAAAGAAATGACTTTCAAAAGGGGATGGAATGTTTATTTCAAGAAACCCCTGGGTTAATGAATATATAATTGTAGGTGTGAGTTCACCGGAACTCTGATTGTTGTCCCTGATGTTGGAGCTCTAAACCTACCTGGAGCTGCTTCTGAGAGCTCTGCTCGGCACCGAGGAGAAGGAGATAAAGCTGAAGGGTTGAGGGGACTGAAAGCTCTCGGAGTTAGAGATCTAAACTACAGAATGGCTTTCCTAGCCTGCGGTGTTTCTTCAGAAGGTTTGTAAAAACTAATCTCATGTCCTAGTTCTTACAAAATAATTTTTTTTTTAATTTGCAACAAGATAGTGTAGACCTTAAAATGGTTAGCACGTCAGCATTTAGATCAATATACTGAAATGGGGATATAATGCCCTAACTAAAATTTTGGCCCGAAACCTTGGGTGATTAAAAAAGAAATAATCACGAAACATTGACCACCCCGGTAGAAGAGGCCTTACCCAGTACCCACATATATATATATATATTGTAATTGTAATTGGACAACAAAGATTAATCCTGAAGTAATGATCTTGAGAGTTCTGAAAACTTTAGCAAACTTTAACAACTAAATGTTTAATAGCCGCAGCGCTCGGACCCTTACCCCATCCTAGCCGCAGCGCTCGGACCAGATATAATCCTAACCTAACCCACGATATTGATAATCTGTTATAGGTTTCGCGGGTTTTACCTAATATATGTTGGGGCCTATAGATAGATAGAATTATCACGGGACATAATGGTTAGGGCCTTACCACTATCCCACTACAAGGATTGAACCTATAATTTCAGTATCTGATCACTCATGCACGTCACCAGGTTGCAAAGATATAAGGAATGGAAAGGCAGAGTGTGAGGCCAAGGATCCTGGAATTTGAAAACATTTATTGTTATGTTTAGGAAAGAACCGACTTGGTAGTGAGGAGCAAGGAGCTGAGACAGCTGAGGATATAAAGAAGAGTATGAGTAATGAAGAGTGGGAAACTGTTTACACGATGTCTAAGGATAAGAATCTTTATCATAATCTTATACAGAGCATGTTCCCGACTATACACGGTAATGACGAAGTGAAGCGTGGTATTATGCTCATGCTGTTCGGTGGAGTTCCTAAGAGTACGCTGGAAGGAACAACCCTTAGGTAAGTAAGGGTGTTGTGTTAGGAATTTTGTGAAGGATTGAAGGGATCTGTTGTTAATCGGGCATTGACATTTTTTGTGTTACTTCTTCAGTCTAAATGGTTGATAAATATTATTTAATTATGAATATTTTAGAGGAGACTTGAACGTATGTATTGTCGGTGACCCATCTACTTCTAAATCCCAGTTTCTCAAGATGGTTGCGGATTTTTCTCCAAGAGCTGTTTATACCAGCGGGAAGGCCAGTTCCGCTGCAGGTACTGAACTTCAAGTTTTTTACCTGGTTTAAATGTAGTGAGCAGCAATGTATGTTGAACTGAGAATGTAGTATTGTGGAGAATTTCATTTGAGACATATAAAACGTTTTAACACTTTATAATTTCTCAGCTTTAGCGCCAAAAAATCCACAGTAAACTAGATGTTTAGGAACATATTTCTCAATAAATCAATGTTAGAATCAATTATTTCTTTTCATTATTATATTGAATTTCTTATTCTTAATTAATTTGTTCACAGATTTCTTCAAATTCTTCAAATGTCGTCTTTTCATTAAAAATTCCGGGAAATAAGATTACTTATTTTCGCCGATAATAGGTAATTTTTATTTTCTCAACCTGTTCCTAAACAATTAATTTCTTTACCGTAGATTTTTTGTCACATTTTTCGTCGTTGTTATTGAATAGCGATTCTTAAAATCATCCCTCCAAAATGGACAATCTATGCACACTTTAAAAACGTCTCATAGGTCTCAAATGATTCCTAAAAAATTTCTCCACAGTACTACATCCTCAGTTCACCTACCATAAATTTCCAGTTACTTCCTTTAAAGAATGAATTAGAGATTTATTTTGAAATAAAATCTCATATTCATCCATTATTATTTTTCAATCGGCCATTCATTTTTTAAATTATAATGAACGAAAAAATTATAATTTTACTTATTTTAGGTTTAACCGCTGCTGTGGTTCGAGATGAAGAATCTGGTGAGTTTGTTATTGAAGCTGGAGCTCTTATGCTCGCTGATAACGGAGTGTGTTGTATTGACGAGTTCGACAAGATGGAGATCCACGACCAGGTCGCCATTCACGAGGCCATGGAACAGCAGACTATCACCATAACTAAGGTGAAATATTCTGAACACTATGATTTTATGTGCTGTATAATTTGGAATGGAGTGCCGGAGCATGGTGTTCTAAAACTATGATTTGATCCGATTGGATTTTCATATTTTTGATCGTTTTTATCTGGATAAAAAATCGTGCATTTTCCTTTTTTTTATTTATATTCCCCAAAACCCCTAGAAATATGTAGTAGTAGAGAGAGGTTATTTTAAAAGAAAATTTTAATATTTGTATTGTAATCTTTTTAATTTTGTTTATATCAGGCCGGAGTAAAAGCAACGTTAAATGCTAGAACCAGTATTCTAGCCGCAGCTAATCCTATCAATGGACGATACGAGCGCTCTAAATCCTTGATGCAGAATATCCAGATGACAGCTCCCATTATGTCGAGATTCGATCTCTTCTTTATCCTTGTGGACGAGTGCAACGAGGTGACGGATTACGCGATTGCTCGGAAGATTGTTGATCTGCACAGGGACCAGGACCAGAGCATTGAAAGGGTCTACACGGAGTCAGATATTGCCAGATATATCAATTTTGCCAGGTAAACTTCGCCAATCCACATTTTCTAATGTTGAATTACTTAACCCTATCCCCGCTGGGGTACTTGAAAACCAGGATACGCTGGGGGGGGTCAATTTGACCCCCCCCCCCTCTAAATCCCATGTTTTATGTCCAAATATGACAAATGATACATCATTAGAAAGCTCTTGTGCTCTACTTTTAGAATCTGCAAAAAAAATTGCAAATTTACCGCGAAATCCAGTTTTATAGTAAAAATGTTTGCAAAAAAAAATTTGTCCAAAAAATGACAAATTATACATTTTTGAAAAGCCCTTGACCATGCCATTTCAAATATGCAAAATTTTTTGCAAAATTTTAAATAACCTGATTTTTAATCAAGAAAAACTAAAAATGTGCAAATTTCCTTTGACAGGTTGTTTGCAAAAAACTTGCAATTTTTTTTCTCGCAAAACTTGTACAATCCGTTTCCTTATGTCATAGGCTTTCCAAAAAGCTAAATTTATCAAAATCTGACAAGTGAAAGTGGGTCAAAACAAAGATTTAGTTTGCTACAGGCAAAAGCAGTCATTCACGCAGTGTGCCTGAGGACTCAGGCAGTTAGTATTAAAGCCCGGTTTTAGGACTAAAGGGAGGGCTTTGGGTATGTAAGAAAAGTTAGAAAATTTCAACAGCCTCAGACCAATACTTTTTGAGTTATGTAAAAAAAACTACAGGGGGGGTCAAATTGACCCCCCCCCCCAGCGGGAATAGGGTTAAAGTGTGTAAAAGCGCTTGAAATTCTCTATCTTAACATATTTTAAAGTTTGCACGCTAAAGTCATATTTTCGTAAATATTTTAAGTTTGCACGCTTAAGTCATATTTTTGTAAAATCGTTTAACATAATTTCAAATTTTCAATATAAAAATATGAACATTTGCAATTTATTTTTTTTGGATCTTATATTAACACAGAATTAAAGTTTTACAAAATCATCTTTGTTCGTATTATTTCCAATAGTTACGTCTTGTAATTTCATTTTGTTTAGAGTTTTTAAACCGAAAATCAGTCAGGACTCCCAGGAACTACTGGTCCAGCAGTACAAAAACCTTAGGAACAGGGATGCTGGAACATCAAGGTAAGCTGGGAACAGGAACTACTGGTCCAGCAGTATAGGAACCTTAGGAACAGGGTTGCTGGAACATCAAAGTAAGCTGGGAACAGGAACTACTGGTCCAATAGTACAAAAACCTTAGGAACAGGGTTGCTGGAACATCAAAGTAAGCTGGGAACAGGAACTACTGGTCCAACAGTACAGAAACCTTAGAAACAGGGTTGCAGGAACATTAAAGTAAGTTATGAACAGGAACTACTGGTCCAACAGAAAAGGAACCTTAGGAGCAGGGTTGCTAGAACACCAAGGTAAGCTAGGAACAGGAACTATTGCTTCAACAGTACAGGAACCTCAGGAACAAGGATGCTGAAACATCTAGGTAAGCTAGGAACAGGAACTACGGGTTCAACAGTACAGAAACGGAAATGCTGGAACATTAAAGTAAACCTGGAACAAGAATTATCGGCGTCTAACAGTACAGGAATCTCAGGAACAGAAATGCATGGAACATGAAGGAAAGCTAGGAACATGAACTATGGGTCTAACGGTACAGGAAAATATTTTAAAAGAGGTGCAACTTGGGGAACATCTATTTGGGAACAAGTAGTAAAGAGAGTAAAAGAAGTTTGTTTTAACAAATAAATTTCAAATGTTGACTAGTTTATTTATTACAAACTGAAGTGTCCGGCGTTGCTCGTGAAGTAAGAAAAAAATCAATATTTTAATCCTATTTTACCCCCAAGGTACCGAATACCAATGGGTTTCCTCAAGAAAAAAATATTCAATTTGGTCCAGCCGTTTGGCGAGCAATAACTATTTTATGAACGAAGAACCTTATTTTATAGATTTTTATTGTAGATCAAGTTGGAGGATTACAGTTCGTCAGCTGGAGAGTATGATCAGGTTGAGCGAGGCCCAGGCGAGGATGCATTGTAGTGAGGAGGTCACTCCTAGGCACGTCAGAGAAGCTTACAGGTTAGATCAATAAGAGTAGAACTAGGGAGAAGCTACAATTTCTTATATTTAAAATTTCAGTCTGAATTTTATCTCGCCCTAAATTGCACACGACATCAAATTTCTTCGGAGCATTTAATTTGTTTTCAATAATAATTATTTTGATCAAATATGAATATTATTATACAACTTCTTCTTTAGTAGTAAAATGAATCTTCGCACTTATATCCTTTAACATGAGTTTTTAATTATTTTTAATTAATAATCATTTTCTTACTCGTTAGTTTTCTGGTTCTAAATATTGAATTGATATTTATTTAGGTTACTGAACAAATCAATCATCCGTGTTGAACAACCCGATGTAGCCCTGGACGACGAGGATGATAACGATGCTCTCGAGGACGATGTTGCCGAGGAGGCTGAGGAGCCCATGGACCAGGACGGAGACCAGGAGACCAGGAAGAAGAGAATCAGCTACGAGGAGTACAAGAGGATGTCCTTCCTTATCATTCAACATATTCGAGAGAGGGAGGAGCAGAGTGAAGCAGGATCTGAGACTCCAGGTATAATAAAACCAGTCCTTTCATTTTCAGGGCGGATCTGGATCCTGGATCCGCATCCAGGTTTAAAGTTATCTTAATGTTCTCAAATTTTGAAGAAAAAAATTAAAAATTACAATTTTTCTCCTTTTTTCGTTTTTTTTTATGCTGAAACTTAATGAACGATTCAGGAATTAGGAAATTTTTTAACCGTTTCGTAATTAACAATTGTTGAAACTGATAATTTTCACTAAATATTAAGCTGCAATATGCTAAATCCTTAGCAACATTTCATAGTTAATGGAAGAATGAAGATGACAAAGTTCCACTGTTTTCTGGCTCCAGCTGTATCTGAATCCAATGCTAATATGAATGTTATATTTTAGAATCCGCGTCTACCAAGTCTGAGGTTGTAAACTGGTATCTGGAGGAGATCTCCGGAGATATTGAGTCTCAAGAGGAACTTTTAGAAAAGAAGTTGGTGGTGGAGAAGGTTTTGGATCGACTCATCTACCATGATCTTGTCATCATTCCACTCAAGAACAGGTTGGATATACAGAGATTTAAAGGAACTGTAAGCGTTATTTTAAGTTATGTTAAGATTTAAAAGCATTGTCTGAAAAAGTATGAATTAGATTTCCATGTTTTTGTTTCTTTAAACTGTTTCTTGCGCATTTCTTCCTTATAAGAAGCACTGGAGAAACTATCGAGTCAGGAAAACGATATTATTTTCTACATTTTTATCAGATTAAGGTTTTAGGGGTACCGTTGTAAATCGGGCATTGTTAACTTTGCATGTAGGGTCCTGGGTCATATTAAAATTATGCTTACAGTCCCTTTAAGACCTTTTTTAAAGCAAGGACTTTTAACTTCGAATTTAAACTTGGAGCTAAAAGAAAATCTCCAAATAAATATTTGGATTTATTTATTGTAGACTTCTCACCTGACCCGTAAAAAGAATTTAATAGCGACATATTTTTATCAATTATTGAGTGTGAACCTATGTAGGCTTTTGATTTTCACATTTTCCAGAATTGTTTAAAAGACACTTTTTAGACTAGATACAGTGTTTCTATGGGGGGGGGGGGTTAGAGGTTTTAAGAAAGGACACTTATGGAAGAGCTATAAATGCCTTCTCAAAACAGGTTTTATGTAAATCGTATTTTGTCTTTTTGTTTTCTATTCCCATTTGCTGATATAGGTTTAAATACAAAAAAGCACAAAATGCAAACATAATATTTTTGAATAGGATTAAAATACTTAATAGGATTAAAATACTTAATAGGATTAAAATACTTAATAGGATTAAAATACTTAATAGGATTAAAATACTTAAAAGTGTTTTGCTATTTATCCATTATTATCTATGCTGCTGTAACATGACTGTCAAAAACTAGAATAATCAGAAACTAGTTGAATCTTAAACCTTTCTAGTCTTGATTTAGTTTACAGATAGCTTGCTTCATTTTAATGTTTTAGTCCTGGGGCCGGGGAAGAAAGGATAATAGAAAATTTATTTTGACTAACTTTGGACTAACAGGGACTGAAAGCGTAATTTCAGTGACCCTCCAAGCAAATAGGGCAATGCCTGATTCACAACGGTACCCTTTAAACCTTCCTCTTCATTGAGTTCAGAGATCTCTTTGTGTAAAGCTGTAGAAATCCGGTTGAATTCAGCTGTAAACCCGACGTGACCTCAACACAGCTGATATATTACTTATTTTCTGCCACGTTTTAAAAATGAACATTCTTTTAAATATAAAAACCTTGCAAACAATGTGTTCAACAATTTAAAGCGTTTCTGTGGAATTAGGATCAGTCCGACAACCCTAGATCAGTCAAAGGTTTAAAGGGTACTATTGTTAATCTGACACACTACTCTACAAAGGTTTAAAGGGTACTATTGTTAATCTGACACACTACTCTACAAAGGTTTAAAGGGTACTATTGTTAATCTGACACACTACTCTACAAAGGTTTAAAGGGTACTATTGTTAATCTGACACACTACTCTACAAAGGTTTAAAGGGTACTATTGTTAAACTGACACACTACTCTACAAAGGTTTAAAGGGTAAAATTGTTAATCTGACACACTACTCTACAAAGGAAGTGTCACTTGAAATAACGTTTACAGTCCCTTTTATACAGACTAATTGATTGGGAATTTGAGTTTCCTAGTTTTGAGTAAAACTATATTGATGTGTTGTGTTGTAAACCTAGAAAACCTGACACTTCACACTTACTGATTCCAGACAACAACTCAAACATTGACATACGAGACTAAAATATAATCAGATTTTAACTAACTAAAGCAAAATAGTAAAATAGAAATTTCAGATCGTTGACGGGAGTTACAGAAAATGATTCAGAAGAAGATCCCTTCCTTGTAATCCATCCCAACTATGATCCAAACCAGGCTTAAGTGCTCTCTGATCCCTTTCTTGTAATCCATCCCAACTATGATCCCAACCAGGCTTAAGTGCTCTCTGATCCCTTTCTTGTAATCCATCCCAACTATGATCCCAACCAGGCTTAAGTGCTCTCTGATCCCTTCCATGTAATCCATCCCAACTATGATCCCAACCAGGCTTAAGTGCTCTCTGATCCCTTTCTTGTAATCCATCCCAACTATGATCCCCACCAGGCTTAAGTGCTCTCTGATCCCTTCCTTGTAATCTATCTCAACTATGATCCCTACCAGTTCAAAACCTATCCTGAAATGTTGCCGAGCAAAGAATTGTGAATGTGATAAACTTGACGTATTTGGATCCCTGATAAACAATAATTTTACAATTTTATTGAATTCTTAACCTTCTCATCTTACTTCGTTTATTTTTACGAAAATATATATTTTTTATGCATAACTCAATTTTATTTGTATCCGCCGTGTTTTAATATTACTTTTTCACCGTCGTTATCAGTCCCTAGCCTAGTAAATTGAATTTATGTGTTTTTTCTTGGTCTGGAAATTTTTGTAACTTAATTTTGGGAAAAGGAAATCCATGTTGAAACATTATACGGTGTAAGCAGGCCGGGGATACAGCTTATTCACATCCAGTTCTTGATTTTTAGGTAATATTGGTATGAATCAGACGACAAAGAGGTTAAGTGGAAATCAGAAAATAGTGACATGCTTATCGTCGTCTTCCTGTTTTGTCAATGAGAAATCTAAAAATGCTGATTCATAAATATAGACTCGTATTAGTTCAGTTAATAGAAAGCAAGGTTAATCAACACGGTAAAAAATTCTAAAACGCAATACAGAAAACCATTTTTACAGGATTACCAAAAAGGAAACTTCAGAGTCGACTTGAAAGGGGAGTAAAATATTTTAAGTTCATGTTAAGGAATAAGGAATTGACAGGAAGGATGTAGGAATTCTGAAAAATAGGAACTAATGGGGAGTATAGATTAACAGAACTCCGACTGGAGGAGTAAAGTGAAAAAAGGAGTTATGGGGAGGGATCTATCTTGCTGGGTGAACAAATAATGGATCCTTTAAAGGAGACCTATATAAATCTCCTCCTTCATATTTAAAGAGTCCAAGGTCGTCATTACATTCTTAACATAACTTATTTCAACCAAAAGTTCTTGACTCGGAAAATATTTTTAAATTTACTAAGGTTACTAAGGTGGAATGTTGGATGTGCATCAGCCTTGCCACTTGGCTGCTAAACAGTATACAAGAATTATTTTCAAATTTTTATTTTTATTTGTAACTCTTAACATGTTTTTTGAATTAACAACTTTTTCTTTTATTCTATCCTATTCCAACGCTTGGCATCTAACCATCACTTCCCTAGGATGATCATTTAAGGTATTTTATCCGATAGTTCATAGAAGAATTTTTTTTTGGGAGGATTTTCTTTCCTGGTTCATTGGATCCATAATTTATCAGATTCTGAGTGCAAAATAGAACTGGGATGTATATTGTATATGTATGTATAGCAGTAACCCGTTCACAGGCTTAAGATGAAGAAATCTTCTATGGCCAACTACGAAAGTAGAATATATTTATTTAAAATCTTCAGGAAATTTCTTTAATTTTTCGATAATATTTTTTGATAACCATCTGAAGTTTTAGTGTTCTGCAATAAACAAAACTTCATTAATTAAAATAATAAACGTGGCTAAAGCAATTAAATAGTGAAAATCTGTATCTAGGTCATAAAAAAAATATAAACTTGAAAAAATGTTTTTGTCGCCTCATCCTTCAAATTCCTTTTTATTGGTACTCCCAATACAATAATATATCCTTCTTGGATTAAACATCTAACAGATGTGTATTGTGTACTGTTTGAACTGTAGACCAACTGTTAACTGCTAGTTAAAATGTTGACCCTGGTCATTTATTTGATTTAATACTCGAGCACGATGGCTTTTTAATTAACTCATTATGGGATAGATTTTGAACCCAACAAATAGATAGTTACGGGTTTGTTCCCAGGAGTGACAAATATATTATGTGGTTCTATATGTTCTTTAGAATCATGTTCGATTCACTATGGTAACCTAAAATACATTGTCTGAAGCTGAACTTAAGAATTAGAGCCTCGGCTCAAATATGGTAGGTTCCACTTAAAATTGTATTCAATGTTTCAATAAAAAAACGTTTTTTGGTGGATTTGAGACGCAGCTCAAATTCATTAAATTCGAACCCTGATCATGAAAAACGGAGTTATCGTTACTTTTCTTTAGCTGAAATTAGTTCACTTTGTATTCAAACCGTCCTCGATAATTGGACAATGGTTCCAAAGGTACCGGTGTGAATGGGACACGCTACTCTTGTTATTTTAACTGGAGGGTCGCTTGAAATTACGTTTTCAGTACTTTTAAGCCTATTGTGACATTTAGGAAATAATCCATCAGTGCCTGGTTTATTTGTAGTTAGGGATGAACAATAGCATAATTCGTTTTGCTGAAACTTTAAATGTTTTTAGACTTTTTTTGGTTCGTTTTTGCCTAATATTTTCACCTATAGTAACAAATCGGTATTTTTGATATTAAAAAAACTTTTACAGAATACAATTTTAAATCGTTGGACCCCTCTCAGATTGTCGTACAACCTTTTAGAAGTCTAAAAATATTAAACGTTTCTGTAAAACGAAACTAGCTATTGCCCATCGCTATTTGCTATAATATTTATTTTATTTTTTTAAGTCATTATTTTGTTTTCAAATCCCAGTTTGAATACTTAGAGAATTCAAAAGGTTTCGCTGGTCAACAATGTTTAACGTTTCCATCCCTGGAATTCTTAACAATTTGATCTAGGTTAAACGGAAACATTATTGATGTGGAAGATTAATCACGAAGTTTCATAACATGTTTTAGAACTTTGTTGAATGGAGCAAATGGAGTCAAAAGTAAGGGGTTTTCACGGAGGAACAGAATTTTGGGAATTTGGTGCTTACCAATTGAAATATTTATGAGCTCTGGGACCGAATAAAATGACTTTAAGAGTGCGCTGAACATTCTACAGTCGGCTTAAATCCTGAATCACCGATTCACTCTTCAATTAATTATCTAAATCTTCATAAATCTTTAACTTTGAATTGATGATTCGGGATTTGAACCTGCGTTGATAGTTAATGGATTGCGAGAAGTAGCTGAACTGCGCGACGTAATTGAACCAATTCGCTTGTTCAACCAGATGAGAACTGGTCAAACCACGTCTACGTGGTGCAACTACTTCATACTATTAATCAAATCTAGTCTATGCTTCACAGATACCTAACCTGAGGAACTACAGAGAGCTGGTATTTTCAATTCATACCTACACGAACTTCTGGAAAGACGGATTTTAGGATTCTGTGAAAAAAAATGTTGAAACCACACTTTTTCTTTAAATACTGAAAATATTGGGACAAGTGTTTAGCCAGGTGAATATAATGGTCAGCAAGGCCAATAAAGTGGTCAACCAGAGCAATAATGTGGTAAGTCAGGGCAATAAACTGTTCAGCCAGGGCAATAAAGTGGTCAGTCAGGGCAATAAAATGCTTAGCCAGAGCTTAATTTGTAATATAGTGGTTAACCGGGCAATAAACTGAGAAAGTGGTTTGGTCGCTGTTCAATATTTGTTTCCTCTTGCATATATTCTTTATATCGAAACAATCCTTACAAATTTAAAAAAAACATTAAATATTTTCTTTGTTTTTTTCTAGCAAATTACTACAGATCTTGAATTTATTGTTTTGTTCTCGTAATTCTGATTCAAGGTTTTAATTAATCAAACTGTTTTTCTTCAACTTTTTAAACTTGATTCTCTTTTTCAAATAGAAAACTAGGTTAAACTGAAGTTGTTTTATTTACTTTATCATGATACAATTACATACAGGGTTGTGTTGTCCCTACAAATAAACACTTTAAAGGTTTAACAAGAAAACATATAAATCTATCTGTAAATTTTATGAACATATCAATACACATCTTATGTACAAAATAAAAAAGAGGCGGCGTAGATTTTAAAATTTATGTTGACTAGATTCTATTTTTATGACAAAGGATTTCAAAATCTACTGAATTCAGAGCTTAATAAGGCATTTTATCCAAATTTGACTTACACTTGAAAGACGTCAGTTGCAATACTACGATGTAACATCTTACATCAAAAAAATGTTTACAATAGATTTATTTAAAATTAAAAAATGTAAGATAGCTCCTTGAAGTCATGTTTACGTGGTGTGCATACTGCATAGAAAAGACTGTATTATTCCACTGCAACCAAGGTTTAATGCCAAACAGTTTCAGAACAGTCTCAGGAAAGAAATTTGGCGAAATGAGTTGAAAACGAGAGATACTAAAGTTGAAAACAAAATCTCCCGGCTATAGTAAATTTGATTTTCTTACAGTCTTAACAGGTTGCAATCTGAGGCCAAGGCTAAGTGGGGTGTTTAATCTACAATACAATTGCCAATTAAAATGGGATTAGTCCAAAAAATCATTTTCAGGAAAAACCTCACTCGGTAATTTTTTTTACTGGATTTACCAAAAATCAAGGGGATGAGGGATTTAAAGAAATATCCCTGAATTGTTCACAAATTGAAGCCAATAAATATCCCCCCAATAAACGACATTACACAGCAGAAAGGTATAAATTTAGGTTAAAACATCTAGAAATTGAAATCCGAATAAAACGCGCAACAAATTTTGAAACTTGAAAAATAAAATATTAAAACTTAACATAAACAGGACATGTCTGTTGTCAAACATATTAAATTCGATAAATTGATGAACTGGTATTTTGTGAAACTTTAACTAGTTCTGTGTCAGATCTTAATAGTATTCACAGTATATAGAAGTTCTGAGTTCTGGAATTTAAAGGAGAAAATATATTTTTTCTTCTTTATATTCTGATGTCACCGGTCTGCATCATTTTGTAAATCTCACCCTGTGAGCTGAGAAATTTCTGCATCCATGATAAGCGAACCCGCGTTCACTTGCTTGAATCTTATTTACATCGTACGTTTTACTAGCTTGTTAACTGCTCCTGGGGTAAATGTTAAGTACTCAAGGGTTTACAGCTCTAGCTAGAATATTAGAGAAGAGTGAGATCTTCGTCTTTGATTAAGGTTGTTGACTTAATGTTAGTTATAGGACTGCAGGGTATCATTGTTCTAGTCAACTACTGGACTGCTGGGTATCCATGCCCTCGTAAACTACTGAATTGCTGGGTATCCAGGTTCTAGTAAACTACTGGACTGTTGAGTATCCATGTCCTCGTAAACTACTGAACTGCTGGGTATCCATGTTCTAGTAAACTACTGGACTGCTGGGTATCCATGCCCTCGTAAACTACTGAATTGCTGGGTAACCAGGTTCTAGTTAACTATTGGACTGCATCCATGTCCTCGTAAACTACTGAACTGCTGGGTATCCATGTTCTAGTAAACTACTAGACTGTTGAGTATCCATGTCCTCGTAAACTACTGAACTGCTGGGTATCAGGGTTCTAGGAACTACTAGACTGCTGGGTATCAGGGTTTTAGGGAACTACTATACTGCTGAGTATCCTGGTTCTAGTAAACTACTGAACTTCTGTGTATCCAGGTTCTAGTAAACCACTAAACTTCTGTGTATCCAGGTTCTAGTAAACTACTATACTGATGGGTATCCAGGTTCTAGTAAACTACTGAACTTCTGTGTATCCAGGTTCCAGTAAACTACTGGACTGATGGGTATCCAGGTCCTAGTGATCTAGTGGGAACCTGAATATCCGGGTCCTATTGACGAAGATCTTGTTGCTGGTTTAAAACATAGAATTTACTCATCCAATCCTAAGATCACAATTAGTTAGCCGAGAATAAGAACATCTGCCAACTTGAGATAACTGTTATTTAGCTAGATCTAACTAGATGATAGATTAAACTATCATCTAATTAGTTTGAGCTTCGTAGCTGTTCAGATTCATGGTCTCTGCTTCTCCAAACCTTGTGCAAGCTTTCTTCCACTTACACTGGGTACACCATAGATCACGTTGCTCCATGCCGTACACTTTCCTAAATAAGGTTTTATTAATAAAATTATTACAGAATTAGACATTTTAGCTTGTTAATATTTCTTTTATTTCATTGTTAAAACTTGATTATACAGTTATTTATAAACGAATTCTTTAGAAAGAGTTAGAATATAAATTGACTGGTCAACATAGTTTCTACTCAAACAAATCACCCCCCCCCCCCCCATCTCTCCCAATCCGCTCCCAGGTACGGATAGACTGGTCGGCGCGCTATACCGGTACTTTGTATACTGCAACTTGTACCTTTTTTGCAAAAATTTTGCATTCCTTGATTACAGAACGAAATGTCCTATTTTGGCAGCATTGCAAGTTCTAGCCCTGATACACCTGACGCAATTGGCCTTGCGGTCACACAGGCAGTTTTTAAATGAGCTTTCCGCAAAATTAATTTAGCCCACACACACGAAACTATTTATTTAAACTTGAAGTAAAAAGTAAATACCAAATACAACAAAGTTTGCGAAAATGCGACTTACGGCTTTATGCCGCAGAAATAAAAATGGAATTATTTTCAAAAAAAACTATAACGATACTTTCACCATCGTTGCTCTGTGTAAAAGGTCCTCTTGTGATTAGGGCATGCATTTTTTTCAAAATCCCTTTAATCGCATCGCTTCTTAGGTAAAAAATTAAATCGCGATGCGCAATTTTCAGGGATCCACTTACATTATTTAATGAAGACCTTACTTCTCCTTATTAATTTTAATGATTAAACTGGACAGTGAGTTCAACTCCTGGACATGCATTATGATGCTAATAATTGGTTATATAATTAGTTCCAGTTCCAGATTTTACCACGGATCTCTGAACATTAATAGTTATCTTTCTTCTACTCTGCCGCACTGGGAGAATCATTTACAGGAAAATGATTGATGGGACAAAATGTCGCAATGTTGAAAAACTTAATTTTTTAAACTTTCTTTGTTGTGCTTTAATCTAAAATTTGGAAAATTTTAGATTGAAGTTATGATTAAATATTAAATTCGAAAATACTTTCAATGGTAACTGCTATTACATAATTTTAAAACGCCCCTAACACCGCCCCCCCCTTGTCAGATTAAACAAGAACTTGTTCCTATTTGTGTAAAATTATGTCAGCAGAGCATGTCAGGCAAATATATTTATTAATTACCATGAAGCATGACATTTTCATATTCAAGGGACTGTACGTGTAATTTCAAGTGATCCTTTGGTTGTTGAGTATGGCGTGTACGATTCAAAACGATACTCTTAAACCTTTTTCTGATCAAGAATGAATGAGAAATCATTATTTTCTAGCTGAAAAATTGATTATTTACCATTGCGGTTTCTCTATAAAAGTGACTTGCAGTAAGTCCACACAGAGAATAAAGGAAATTTTCAGATTTTCATATATTTTAAACAAGAAAACGGGGATATATTTTAAACAAGAAAACGGGGATATATTTTAAACAAGAAAACGGGGATATATTTTAAACAAGAAAACGGGGATATAATTAAACAACAAGAAAACGAGGATATATTTTAAACAAGAAAACGGGGATATATTTTAAACAAGAAAACGGGGATATATTTTAAATCTTTATTTAGGATACCTTTATGAATCGGACATTCCACTCTTTTATAATCATAAGGTCATTTGAAATACGTCAACAGTCCCTTTAAACGACTCCCCCCCCCCTTTTTGCACAAGTAAACATTGGTAAAAGTTTCAAATTTTCCACAGTTTCAGATTCGGTAGATAGAATTGACAAGTTTTGAAGGATTTGTTTTGGTTTGTAGTTTTAGGGCGTAGTCAGCTGAAAAGGGAGGAGAGGGGGGAGGGGCAATCATGCGTGTGGAATAGCAGGGGAGCAACTAACGATATCCAGGGGGAGGGGGGTCGCACCTTTATTATCTTATGAACAATAAGGATAAAGTACCGTAAGTATATCTAGTTAAGGTTCTCTCTAATGTATTTAAAATTTAAATATTCTTTCTAGCACCGCAAACCAAGATTTGCATAATCGCTCGCCAAAATCAAGCAATATTTTTCCCATTACTCCTTTAAACCTTCAGCTAGAAACAAGATAGTTACAATTTTAAAGGACTACAAAAAAGTATACACGAGTTAGTAAGGTTAAACCAAAGGCCAAGACGTCGCGTTACTTTTAAAAATTTGGATGAACAACTTTTAGAGTTGTCTAGAACACAGTCCTAGGTACAAACAAATTACTGGCTGATGAAAATACACAAAGCTATAAAACTCAAATGTTTAAAATCTTGATGAATTAAACACGAATTTATTGTTCTCATTGAGTAAATAAAGGTTTTAGTTTAACAAAGGATTTTTTAAAAAGTTTCTGGTTTTTGCTCCGGGCACGATTGCACTACAGACACTGTACAAAAAAGAACTTAATAGGAAAGGAATTGAGTCTTTGTCACAAACTCTAATTTTCTAATCCCACTATCTTAGCATCTCACTATCTTAGTCCTAAGACATTTAAAACTTTGAATTCTGTTAGATTTAATAGTCAAAGTTTAAAATTGCAAAGGTTAACAACATCAAGTTGCATAGAAATAGTGATTAGAAAATTTGAGTTTGTGGCAAAGACTCAATTTTTTTGGTTTCTAAACATGGCGTTTTGACACATTTTAAGCATAAAATAAAAATGACTTTACCTGCACTTTTTAGCGTCTCCTCTGGGCCTTCTAACCGGGGATTTAGGAGAGGTTGAGGGACAAGGTTTAGGAGATAATCTGATATATTTGCCTGGAACCCCGCCACCAGATATAGTAAAGGTTGTGATAGGGATGGCTATGGGTAGACCAAGGGAGCTGGAGGGGGAGATGATGGTGGCGTAGGTTGGGGTGGAAGAAGAGAGCAGCTGGGCACACCCTGAATACATTTAGTTTAAAATTCAAACTGCGAAGAAAAATAATGGATACTACACTAAAATGGAGACTGCACAGCACCCAATCAAGGCCTCATTTCGAGCAATGTTACGTAAGGATAGGACGGAAAAAAGTTCCTCCTATTGCATGAAAATGCATTTTAATCCTGACCTGTTCTCTGGGCTGTGTACTCGGGATTCTCATGTGGAGGTCTGGCCATGTCACAGTGGTCGGCTAGGATGGGCAGGATGGTGGGGCCTTGGATAGGAGAGGGGGAGAGGAATCTGTGCCCGTCTATCATGATGGTTCTCTCCTCCTGCTGGGAGGATCTGGAGCTGGAGCTGGTGTCTGAAAGACTGGAGCTGGTGGTTCTAGTATGAGGAGAAATATCGCCGTCCTCTACAACCAAACTATCCTCGGGGATATCCTCCGCGTCAGGGATCTCGAACTCTGTGTAGTAGAACTCCTCCTCGTGCTCCTCCTCCTCCTCCTCTGTCGGCTGAGATCTACCAAGATGAACTTGACGAACATGAGCTTCTATGGCTTGGCACTGGGTTTCTTGATGGTTGCAGTTTCTCCAGGTACACTGGAAGATAACCCGAACACTTTCAGTCTAAAAAAAAAATTTTTAAATCGATAAGCTGCGATAAATAAAATTGTGAAAAAAAATGTAGAAACGTTCATCATTTGCATCCTAATTTATATTGCATTTGTATTTAAAGATTTTGTCATTACATAACTCGCATGCAGCTGTCTCTGATGTGAAATGAAAGAGAGACAGAAAGAGTAAAACGCTGAACTTGAATTATTTGATAAGAACTGTGCTATAACCGCTCCCCATAAAAAGAATTAAAGTACAAAAAGTGCATTCTGCAGCCTGAGACAGGCTGGCAATGCAGTCGGTTTTTCTAATGCATCTGAGGGCAGTGCAAGGTTAAAGAAAGCTTCAGCTCTCTCCGCCTACTGGATTCAAATCCTCAGAAATTTTACTTTCCGCAAAATATTTGAGTAAAAAACTCATCTCAGTAAATTACTCTTAAAGATCCATAAGGTCCCGGGAAGAGGCAATATTCTAAATTTTACGCATGCGGGTGCACACTGCACAATATTTCAAATTATTTGTTTATTACAGTTTCATTTTTATTGCAACGCAAATTGTGCATTATTTCTAATCAAGATTGTATCTGATATACCAAACATGCAACCATGATGACTGTAGGAGTTACTGGATAAACATTTAACATAAGTATGCATGAATAATGAATAATATTTGATGTTTCATGATGGTTTATATTTTAAAAATATATCCAATTAGCATTCAGTGATACCCAATATACTTGCTATTATGAGAGATGCCGCGAAAGATTTTGTGATTTGTAAATCTTCGATAATTTTGCAGAGATTTTTTAGTTTTATTTTATATGAATATACAATAGCCTACATCCATATGCCTAATCATTATTTCTAATTAGACGAAACCCATTTCGATTTATATTGGTTATCACTGTAAATGATATCTAGGTCATGCATTAAATATTTATATAAATATATGCTTTGCAAACTTTGATTTTAAATATTTGATTTCAATATATGGCTTGAATAAATCATATATTCAGAATGATATTGGTGTAACAAACTTTTAATTGAATTTTGATCAAGATTTCAAAAGTGAAATTCATGATGTTTTTTTTCCGTTAATGTCAGTCGGCCACTCGCGCTTCATTAAGAAGAAAGATTATGACTGCACCTTTCTCCTCAGGGTTAAAGGGGGAACAAGGAAGAGTGAAGGTTAAGTGGCTAAAATTAGTTTTCCATGGAACTTGCTAAAAAGAAATCTAAAACATTACCTTTTTAATTTTTTTGTTTTCATGACACTCAAAGGAATGATCGCTGGCGATCCCCTCGTCGGAGTCACTCTTCTCTACAGCGTAGTCTCCGGAGAGCTCTAGGAGGGCGGATACAGGGCTATCGGAGGGAAGGGGGAAGGGAGGGGTGAGAGTAGGTGAGTTCCAGGAGCTACCCAGAGATGAGACTCCACTGGACGAAGGGGACATCTGACCGGAAGAACCATCTAGAACAATGAGATTTTAACGCGGGCTTCAAGCTTAGTCAAATGGGGTTTTTAAATAATGGAATTGATTACCATCAAGCTTTACAACCTGATGGTGTAAACATTTTGTATTTTAGAGTTAAAGACACCATGTTGCAAAGATATAAAGATTAGAAAATGAGAAGTTAAATTAAATTGTGTAACTATTTTTCAACCTGAACTTCAAGGCCAATAGGGCTCTCTGTGTGTACTCTATTGTAGTGGAAATGTCAAGAATAAACAGGTTTTTTAGTTCTAGCACTTTAACATCGTGCCCAGGCCATATCATAAATATCATCCCATGGGTTTATAAACTGATAACTTAAATTATATACGCCGGGGGATTTAAACTAAATTAATAGGTCTCTCCGAAATCAAAGTTCAGTGCAGAGGAAACGAAATTATAAAAATGTAAATAAAAATTAACTGGAATTTTTAGCAAAAAAAATGGCGACATCCCATTCTATCCTATCCTATTTTGTCAAATCTACCGAAATATATCCTATTTTACCATATTTCATATCCCATTCTATCCTATTTTGTCAATCCATAAAACATACGATAAATGCTGAAATGTATTTGTAAACGGCACATTATTTTTATTAACATGCATCCAATTTTTTGATGGGTCTAAATTTGCTTGATATTATGATTAGCTTGTCATAAAAATAAAATACCTTTCTAAAAAACATCAGATGTGTTCAATGACACGTTATGAAATTTTATCCAACATGATAAACATTCGTCTAAATATTTTGAATTGTTTTTTAGTTCGATAAACATAGTCTAGACACTCTTACGTATGGACTAGACACAAACTATAGGTCCATTTTACTAAATATATTTCAAAATAAGGAAAAAAAGAATTTCTATCCATTTCTAATAAAATACTGTGAAATCATTTCTATTCTGCATGACAAAATTCCGCATAAGTTATCATTATATGTCTTACAATTAATTTTCAGATATTTAAGTATATATATAAATATAAGTCTAGTTTTTAATTTTAATAGTGTTTGAACATTATGAAAATAGTGATATTTCATAAAATGAGGAAAATTAATATGGAAAATATGTGCTTTTTCATACAAAATACTGTATAATATATATTTATATCTATAAAATTTAGTTCTTGTTCTAATCTTTTTATAATGTTTAAAAATGATGAGAATAAAAATATTTACAGCTATATTTCTAGCTGGTCTGGCTGTATCTGCTTATATTTGTTCCGTGTATAGGAATCATTAGAAGAAAGAATATATATATACTAGAAATTCAAGGCGCTTCGCGCCCTTCTTTCTAGCCTTAGAGGGCGCTTCGCGCCCATCTTCTAAATTAATTGTAAACATGTTCTCTTTGTGTACATCGTAAAACTAAACAAAAATAATTCGCGGATTTTTACAAAAAATTTCGCGGATTTTCAAAATTTTAAAAAATTTAATGACGATCGAATTTTGATAGAGACAAATATTTGAAATTTTGATGATTCATAAACCTTCCCTGGGCTCCCTAGATGTCCCACAAAAAATTTGGGCCCG